ACCCAAATAATTAATAAGCATATACATTCTCTTTTACTACAATCAACACCAACTCAAGAAAGTAAGTGAGTCGATAAATCTAAAGGCAAAATCAGCGAGAATCAAAGCCAACGCGCAGTAAAGTATCTGATTTGATATGAAACTAAGCACGTTAAAAATAAATGAGTTGAAAGTTCCTCCAAACCATAACAGAAGCAACAGGTTATATCATCAATTTGAACACCACGGTCAATTAGCAAACCTTTACAAGTAAGTGCATTCAACAACAATTGCCAAGAAAATACCAGACACTTAAGAGGGACTTTCAATCTCTATAGCCTTTGCAATGCATCGGTCGTACACTGATCTACATTATTAGGACCACCAAAAAGTTCAAATAGCCATGAATACACAGATTGCACTGAATAACAACATGAAGAATCTATCATTCATACCCATTCATCTTCTCGTAGTAACTTAATAGAAACTCCATCCTCAAGCTCCAACAAAAGATTAAAGCTTGAAATCTCATGTTGAAAGAGTCCTCTTCACTAACTAACATCTCAAACCTACTTAGTGCCATCATGAAAATCATTCTCCAATACATATGATTCAGCATTTCTTGCCACCACAAACAATCGCAGAAATGCTTTACACAATCGCACCCCGTCTACCCATTTATCTCTTCAAAAAAGAGTGTGTAAACATGCACCCACACTCCTATCAAACTTCTCATCTATCCATAAATTTTCTTGATAAATAACCTCCAGCAAATCATAACACTACAAAGAATATCCGTTGTGAACTAATAAATTATAAATACTTTCATTTCACACGATAAATTCTCAAATTGACAATGTCTGATGCTCTGTCATAAGAAATTTCTCGTTCTGAGTCATTTTACTCCAACTCGAGCTTCTTCTATATCGGTTTTTTTCTTTGACAATTTTACATTAAGTTGGCAAGTTTTGTTTTGTTGCAGGTCATTGTAAATTGTATGTACAAATCAACATTAGAATGATAGTAGAAATTGGTGGAGTGGATAATTATCATATCTTTCCCTTCTTTGGATTATATATACACTCGATATGTTTGTGAATATTTATGTAAATATTTTGAAGATTAGTAACACATCATTAGAACTTTATTTTACTATTTGCTACTTGTTTCTGTTCTCATGAGCTGTTAATAAGTATTCTATTTTAAACATTTTGAACACATTCAATACGCGTTAAGGATATTACCTACTTGTCATTAAAACATGTTATCAATAATTATTGAGGTATGTTATACTTTCTGTCCAGTACAAATTAAGCTCGAGAATGAATATTTCTTTTAATATTTTTGACATTTCTGAAATTAATAAAAAAAAATTGGGAAATTTCCCGTCCAAAGGCCTACGCTTTAACACACAGACATTAGTCTCGTCCTTCTTCACGAGCAATGTGAAGACGCCCCCTCTTTCATCTTTTAATTCACACCCTTCCGTGATTCCCGTGGCCAAGAACGAGTCTCGTAAAAAAAAGCTAAAACCATATAAAAAAGGATTAAATTTTAATTAAATAAAAATAATAATTTGGCGATATGGTATATAGTTGTCATGGTCATTATAAACGAACCCTGCACATTGTGTACAAGCGGGTAAGAATCTGGTCACGTGGGTGCCAACTCTCCACGAAGAATTATGAATGAATGACTCATAAATATCTGTTTTCCCAATTGGTCATTTAAACTTGACGGTGGATAGCTACCTCAGATGCTTACTAATGGCATGGCTCCTATCCTATATGATTTCTATCCGTCTTTTAAATTCAGCAAGATCTTCATTATTACTATAAAAGTTTAGTACTATCTTACAGTACCAAACATTGGATCTTCATACCATGGAGTAAATGCATCAAGTTGGTAATTTACAATTTTATCAATTAAGAAAGTATCAAACATTGAACCTCCATTGCTAATTTTTATCATGGGACGATATATATTAGGTCAATTTTTCAAGTCTATCTCCAAGCTTCCAATAAATCAACATTTTCTCCGTTGCCCTTTGGTCACAACTATGGAGGAAGATTTTAGTTCGGTGAGCTTTCTTCCAAACTAGAGCCATTTGTTTTTCTTTGTCCCTTCAAAAGGTAGAAATGGAAGGTTAGTTGAATTAAGATTGAAGAGTTAAGGAAAAAAGAAATAAAGCCAGTAAAATGAGTCAGGTCAATCCCAATATATCAAAGCACAAAATATACAATATTAATTTGAAGTTCAGATAATTTTGAAATTCTTTTAGATAAAATATAAGGGTGGTGAAAAAGAGATTTTTTGCTGAGAAATATGAGTAGAATGAATCGTAAAACCTTATAACTCATTTGAGGTTGATATCTGTCTCCATGAATCAATACAAGACTTTTTGGTATGTTTTTTCTTTATTCACACACTTTTTAAAAGCAGAAAGTTACTCATTTCATAATTCTTAATTAATTTTTTAAACTATTATTAATTATATATATAGTCTTTATTCATTCATATAATTCATATCGCCGGAAGCCTGCCCCTAGCTGGATATCCTTTACTGCATCTCCTAAGAGCTGATGACGGAATGGACCACACACCTTTATTCCTTGACCTTATATCGATGGGGATTACTCGGTACCCTCACTTAGCGCCTGGGTGTGACAGGAGTGGAGATGAGGTTGAAAAAATGAAGATATTTTAGAGGAGGAAAGGGCATAGAATACACAAAACTGAAAACGAAACAAGCACGGCGGTGTGGTGTTATTTTGTTTCGTTGTCTGCTAATAATTGAAAGTAGCAGTAAAGGATAGTGGGTGGCAAGCACATGGCCGCCCTGCTCCACCAATCTAATTTCTTTTTCTTAAATCATATAAGAACAAAATCGTACATTCCATTTATTAAATATTTTAATTATGGTCAATTATAAATTGGACGGCTATTTTCAAACTCAACATAGTAGAAATTTAGGTTTATGGTTTAATTATATTTTGAGGAAATTTTTTAAATATTAAAAAAAAATACTACTAATGCACTTTTTATATAATTTCTTTTGTTTTTTTGAAGAGTAAGGTTTTTAATTATTAGAATCAATTTTTCTTGTTACTTTTTTTTACTCCTTAAATTCTAACATTTTTATTATTTTTTTATGGAATTAACTGATTAAATTATTTTGATTTTTCTTTCACCTAAAAATCAAAACATATTAAATTAAAACATTATATTTCACATAAATTAAATTTCTCTCTCTTTTTATCTTTAAAATCGTAACCTCATATTCAATATATATAATTTTACCGTGGTTTTAACTTTTGAACAATTAAAACTATTTATTATCTATAATATGTGGTAAGACTTCGAATTATTATGTAGAAAATAAAAAAATAGAAAATATAAAAACAATTTTAAAAAAATAAAAGTGTACATTAATTGTAATAAAGGGAAAAGAAATATAATTAAATATAAAATTTGAAAATACAACTACTTATCGAATATCTTAACAATATTACAACGTCAACGTCTTATTCGCTAAATAAAATCAGTTATATCAATTGCAAACATGTTGTTAAATTTTGTTAAAAATTAAATTAGTTAAAATATTATTTATCACAATATTTCTTTTAATATTTAAAAAAATGAATACCTTAACAATATGCACTATTGGTACATGTTATTTATTATTTAAATATAAATATAAAGTGATTTTATGTTTATCGTTTTTGAATAACAGTTTTATTATTTTAGCCAGTTCTCTTAATTAGCATTTTTCACTAATTGAAATAAAAAAATATCTGTTACGCTCTAAGATAGTATAAATTGAAAAAAAAAAAACTCTAGAAAAGATGCATTTTAATTTAATATATAAGAATAAGTTTAGAATATCTCTTTTATGTATTAAATTAATGCTAGTTTTTAATAGAGTATTTAACCTTGTTGTATGTTGTGAAGAAACAATATGTGACTTGTATTTTTTTAAAAATATTTTTTTAGCACTCATAAATATATATTAGGTTTAAATTTTCTTTGTATCATAATTTACAATTTAAAACATTACTTACTTATATATTTTGTTTACGACATGTGCAAACTTTTAAAGTTATTCGTTGAAGACCTGACCCTGACCCAATTCCTCAAGGCTGTGCCAGGTAGCAAGCATGCTTTCATAGTTTATTTATAAGTTTGTAATTTTTTTAGTTAGTTAGTAAATTTATTTAACGTACAACAAATTAAAGAGAATTTTTAAATTTTGAATGATAACCTATAAAATTTTACTTTAAATATTTTATAATTTATTAGAAGTTATTTTTAATATTTTTTTATTTGTAACTTTTTAAATGATTTATATAGACGTAAAATAATTTTAATATTTCTCTAGTCATTTAATATATTTTATCTAACTATACAATTATTTTTATTAAATAACTATAATTCAATCATTTAATTATAAATTATTATCTTTTAACTATGAATTCTAAGTTATAAATCTTTAACTAATTTTTCAACTATAAACTTTTAATTATTTTTTCAAACATAACTAAAAAAAAAGTCTTATCCCTGTCTTAATCTCAACTTACTGACGAGTTTGCACAAATTTGAGTTGATATTCAAGTTATCCGTTTGACTCATATATAATAAATACTTTAAAGTAACTCTTTAGTGATAAAGAAATACTTATTAATTTATATTATATACTCATATTGTACTTATAGCAAAGTTGACATGGATTTGGGATCAATTTTTTTTTCTTGTCTGCCTATAACTAATAATTTTCATATTTTAAAAGTAATTTACAAGAATAATTGAATATATATTTAAAGAAAAATAAATAAAAAATATAAAGGTAAAAGAAAAGATTTGGTTGAAGTTAAGAAGAAAATAGAAAAGAAAAGATTAGGTAAAATAAAAGGGAATAGTTGTGGTGGAAAAGGAGTAACAGTGATGAGAGAGGGGAAAGGGGGGCATATGGGTGGGGTCGGATAGGCTGGCGCCAAATGGGGAGGGATGGGATGGGGATGTGCGGATTCTAAACGTTTATCAAATCCCATTTTGAAACAGACCAACAAACAATTCGCTTCTTCGGGGGTTCGTTCATTCACACACACACTCTCTCTCTCATTCACTCGCTCGCTCACTCACTCACTCACTCACTGGAAACAAAGATGAGAGAGATAATAAGCATTCACATAGGTCAAGCCGGCATTCAGGTCGGAAATTCGTGTTGGGAACTCTATTGCCTCGAACATGGCATTCAGCCTGATGGAATCATGCCAAGGTATCATCGCTCTTTTTTGTTATTACTCTTTGATTAATTAATTAATTACATCAATTTAATAACCTATCTATCTATCTATCTATCAACATTCAACAGCGATTCCTCCTTCGGCGTTGCGCACGACGCCTTCAACACATTCTTCAGCGAAACGGGTTCAGGCAAACACGTTCCCAGAGCCGTCTTCGTAGATCTCGAACCCACCGTCATTGACGAAGTTCGTGCCGGAACCTACCGCCAGCTCTTCCACCCCGAACAACTCATATCCGGCAAAGAAGATGCCGCCAACAACTTCGCCCGTGGCCACTACACCGTCGGCAAAGAAATCGTAGATCTATGCCTCGATCGCGTCCGAAAACTCGCCGACAACTGCACTGGCCTCCAAGGCTTCCTTGTCTTCAATGCCGTCGGCGGTGGTACCGGTTCCGGCCTCGGTTCCCTCCTCTTGGAACGCTTGTCCGTCGATTACGGCAAGAAATCCAAACTCGGCTTTACCATTTATCCCTCACCTCAGGTTTAACCTAAACCTAAACCTAACCCTAACCCTAACCGTTCCCAATTCAGTTTCAGATTTGACCATTCTCTTTCGATTTCAGGTCTCAACCGCGGTTGTGGAGCCCTACAACAGCGTTCTCTCCACGCATTCTCTTTTGGAACACACGGATGTGGCTGTGTTGTTGGACAATGAAGCGATCTATGACATATGCAGGAGATCCCTAGATATTGAGAGGCCTACGTACACGAATCTGAACAGGTTGATCTCTCAGATCATTTCCTCTCTGACGACGTCGTTGAGGTTCGATGGGGCTATCAATGTGGATATCACTGAGTTTCAGACTAACCTTGTGCCCTATCCTCGCATCCATTTCATGCTTTCCTCATATGCACCTGTCATCTCCGCCGCCAAGGCCTATCACGAGCAGCTCTCCGTCCCGGAGATCACCAACGCGGTGTTTGAGCCTGCCAGCATGATGGCCAAGTGCGATCCCAGGCATGGCAAGTACATGGCTTGTTGTTTGATGTACCGTGGTGATGTTGTTCCCAAAGATGTCAATGCTGCTGTTGCCACCATCAAGACTAAAAGGACCGTTCAATTTGTTGACTGGTATAGTATACCCATTCTCGTAATCCATTTTTCTGTCTATCAAGTTATGGCTGTGATTATCATGCATTTACTGTGTGTTTGAAAAACTTGTGAATAGGGATCTAAAACAAAAATTATAGCTAGTAGTATTGAAATAAACATGGATCTGATGCTGTTTAAATGGGAATCCAAACACACTATTAATGTTTGAGATTGTTTGGTAGAGCTTAATTCAGTTTACCAAAGTGGTTCATGACTTTTCTATGAGCTGTTTTTAACATAACTGGTAAGATTTTATTTAATTTGAAGCTATTGAACAAGTACTTAATTTAGTTATTTTTCCAAACGCATCACGTGAGAGCATGTTTATTGGAAGTAGTTGACTACAATTCTGGTAACCAGTTACTTTTGGATGTTGAACAGAACACATTTTAAGTGCTTATATGAGATTTAAGCTCAATTGAAGCACTTCCGAACATATCTATTTTGACCCATTTAGCAAGTGAGCTTATATGTCTGATGAACACTGCCTAAAAATAATTAATTGTATGATTAATGAGTGGATGCTGCACTGTGTTGATCTCTGGATTATGTGGGCATGTGTGATTATAGTTTTGTATGGAATTGCTGATTCTTGTCATGGTAGGTGCCCAACTGGCTTCAAGTGTGGTATCAACTATCAGCCTCCTTCGGTTGTGCCGGGCGGGGACCTTGCTAAGGTGCAACGGGCTGTTTGCATGATCAGTAACAACACTGCAGTTGCTGAGGTGTTCTCTCGCATTGACCACAAATTTGATCTCATGTATGCCAAGAGGGCCTTTGTCCACTGGTATGTCGGTGAAGGAATGGAAGAAGGGGAGTTCTCGGAAGCTCGTGAAGATCTTGCTGCTCTTGAGAAAGATTATGAGGAAGTCGGTGCTGAGGGAGCAGAAGATGAAGAGGAGGGAGATGATTTTTGATGTTACCTTATAACTGAAGGTGTTTTTATTATTGTTTCTACTAAAAAAGGGTATATGCTTCGTTACATTGCCCTGCACCCGTATTGTTATTTCTTTTTTGTTTCTGTGTGATATAGTTCCATCATTCAAACTGTGAAATGCTCATCATTATGCTTCTACATGTTGATTTAGGATCTTTTGTTTGCGGCGTCAATCATGTATTCAGAATTGTCAATGTCAAAAGTTGTTTTTTTTTTCTTTTATTCGCGGTCGCAATTTTCTTTCACTAGATTTCCATTTTGATTGTCTCAATTTCACCTCGCAAAACGTTTCCTCCCTTGTATTTTTTCCAACACGCATCATTCTTGGAATCGCTGTTGGCTAAAATGGCCCTACTTAATTGTGATTGTTCACCGATTCAAGTATTTATTTATTTATTTTTATGATTGCTTCTGTTTAGATGAAGTTTGAGGTAAGTGCCAAAACTTCTTGTGGCACGTGAATCAAGTGAAAGCTTACCGCATGGAAGTGTATCTGAGGGAAAAAATGCTAGAAAGCTATAAGTATTAGTAGGATTGTTCCAAATGAAGTACTTAGCATGAATTGAGGTAATCAAACATAATAAAAGCCTTCAAAATGAAATCAAAATATTTTACCAAGGACCGAATTGGGAAAGTTCAAAGTATAGTTGTTAGCCTGAATGTCCCAATTACAGAATCGATTTCGTGAAATCGGCAATGTATTAATGCTGTTCACAGTGCTTTCGAGAAAATAAAATTACAACTGTCTATCCAAAAATCGATTTAATTATTGGTTATCTTTTGGCTGGGGAGTCTGTTTTGCAGGTTCCAGATATGGAAAATGGATTGCAAGACATTGACAATTTCTTGTAACACCTGGCATATGGGGCTATTTTAAAAGAATTGGTAAAAAGCCATTAGTACGACAGCGTTGGGAATAAAGGAGCTCTATGCAAAACTTTTTAATGTGTCTGGGTTGGCATTTAGCATTTAATTATACTATAATTTTACACAATTAGAAACAATTGTGTGTTTAAAACACGCAAGTGTATCCAAATGTGGAGTCAGTCCTAAAATTGGTATAGGTCAAATATTTTAATTTTAAAAAATTAAAAAATTTATTAGTCTTTTGTATTAAAAAATCATTTGCTTTAATATTTTTTTTCTTATTTTTTACTATATTTTATACTACAAAGTTTTAAAGAAAAAAAACATTGTTTGACAAAGTTGGTGGATTGACGGAAAATTTTTAAAATTTTAATTAAATAGTTTGATATTCAAAGATTAACCCGAGCAAATCATCTCCAAATGTGATTCTAGTAAAAGTAACCTTGAGGTGATTTTGTATTGAGTTGGAAATCTTGTATTAAATTTTATTATAAATTTACTTTTGAGATAAGAGTTTTTAAAACTCAATTTTAACTAAAATTAATTTTAAAAGATCAAGATGTTATAAACAGTCAAGCACAAGTGCCCCCCAACACCCCATTCCCCTCCATGCATAAATAATAAATAATATTCAAGAGAGAATTACTGCACAAATGGTTATTTGATCCTTCAACATAATTTTAGTAGTAATCAGCTCCAACGATCAAATTTTCCAAGAGGTAGGACCCTTCTTAATTATGCTTACTCAAGTTGTGGGTGCCATCCCCGAGGGAAGTGGGATATGTTTTAACTCCACCAAAGACACTATTTCATACTTATTCTCTGTGGATCACTTCGATCACAATCATTAGTCGTTGGATTTGGATAGTCCAAATAGGGAGGTCAACTCCTTAAACCTTGTCAATCCCTCGGGTTACATGCACAACATTTGTTTATTTTGAGGACAGTCATATTTGAACGTCCTTTTTTACAGTCATTTCAATACTTGTATTATATATACATGATTGATCATAAAATAATATGAATCTTTCACAAGTAAACCATGGAAATGCACCAATCTGTGTACAGAAATTATTTTAAATGTGATATATAACACAAAATGTAAGGTACATCTTTACATCTGAGTTCATCTAATTATCCAACCATAAGGAGTGGGATTAATTAAATAAATCGTAAGCCCTAAGAAGACATTTCTAAGAGAATCAAGGTTGAATGCAAATTTGACTTTACAGTACACATTATTATATTGAGGTGAGGAGTGAGGATGAAAATATGCCCTCAGCACATATTCATAAATATTCTTGCTTGCATTTTATCCAATGGGTTAACTAACTTTGAGGAGCTGAGCATAATTGTGCCTTCCTGTGCACAGTACAGCAGTAACAAGCATGGCTGAAACTTGTACTATGATACCAAAATCTGAACTCATTCCTCTAAGTACATGGTGAAGCAGAGGTGGATCTGAAAATTCAGTGCTCTTAATTTACCCTCACAGTTAAAGAAAATGACATGGAACAAAGGTAATATTATGTTTTTACAAACTAATGAATATAGTACAACCAAGTATCCAATTACAAAGCATGAATTTTCGGAACCCTCATCATGGTGTGTACTAAGAAAGAATAGGAATGAATATAGAAATCAAGTGAAGCAGGAAAAGTGGGAGAGAGGATAATTGGCATCATAATCATACTTATATTCATATGTATCCTCTACGTGGCATTCATTCATGGCATATAGGGAGTCTGACAATTGGCTTTCTACATTCAAAACATCTTTTGGTGTTGGTAGCTCGTTAATCCTTTGTGGAGCTAATGGCCAAGAATAATCAAAGTGCGATGTATTTGATACAATTCCCATTGAGCAGTTGATCATATTATTCATATCTATCCCATACGGATTATCAGAGACTTGGTTATGAACCCAAAACAAAGACTTACCTTCACTGCTACATGTAGGGTTGTCTACCATGTCCATGATATTATTAATGGTAGTAGCACCATTTGGTTGGAAAGTGGGGCTTATATTAGAGGATTGGTTTTGAATTTGAAGTTGACTTGAGATGGCTTTACGATCAAGGATGTTTCTTAGTTTGATAGATATAGGAGAATTGGTGGCAATGCCATGATGAGTAGAGAAGTTGGTGCGAGTGTTTGAACCTCTAAGGAGGCATGCAGCTTCATCATAAGCTCTAGCAGCTTCTTCAGCAGTTTGATAAGTACCAAGCCACATCCTAATCTTCTTTGATGTGTCTTTGATCTCTGCTGCCCATTTCCCAGAAGCTCTTTGTCTCACCCCAACAAACTTGGACTTGTTCTTCATCTTCAGTTTCCCACTGAACCTCTCATCTTTGCCCTTTTCGTTTTGATATTCCATACCCATTAATATTACAAATACAATCAAATTAGCCATATATATATATAGATACATGTGAAGTTTTAAAAAATATATCACAGGTTAAATTTCAGTTGGTTTAGAGTAGTGGAGAGCTCGTTTTTAGTTTCTTGTCACCTTTTTTTCTAAAATCTGAAGTCTTAGCTCTAATACTTAAATTAATGTGGGGTTTGGCTTGTAACTGTAGTGGTCTTCCTCACCTTCAACCTTAATTTGGTCAACCAAGTTGAAGTAAAGCCTGATTCGTGATGACCACTTACATAAAATGTTGCCTTTCGGGCCTAAATTTTAATCTGTTTTTCTAACATATCAAAATCTTATAAGTTTTTATAAAAATTACATGGTTTAATATTAAATATTATATTTTTTAATAAAATTTTATTATTTATCATATATGATAGATATACATTAGAAAAATTAAATTTTAATAAAATATATTAAAATTATATAATAATATTAAATGGAACAGAATTTTTTGACAGCAGTAAAAGTTGAACAACTTTTATAATTAATTTTAATCTTTTATTTAACTTATATTTAACGAATTATAATGAGTGTAATAATTTTTAAATTTATACTATTATAAAAATAATTTTTTTATTAAATTTTATAACTTTAATAAAATTTGATTATTTATTAAATTTTATCGTTTTTTTTTTCAACACTGTATACTTTGAATACATGTTAAAAAAATGAATTTTAATATGCTTTCTGAGTTGATCCATCAGCGCGGTGCATGTGGGTGTATTTTATAGAAACTATAATAAAGATAGTGGTACGTTATTTTCACCTTGAAATTATGCCTCTTATATTTCTTAGTCGTAGAATGTGACATATCAAAAAATATCTCTGAGCGTGTCAGGAGGTTTTAAATTTTGGTTGTACTTCTTAAACAGCATTCTCCCCAATTACCTGTTTTGTTCAAGGACATTTGAAGTGGAAGCTCCACAAAACTGTCAAACTTGAAATTACACTTTCATATACAATGCAAGTTTAAACATTTATAAGTATCTTATCCAAAGTTTCGCATTTGGTGTAAATGGATTATATCTATTGGTTTTATAAAAATTTGATTTTGTTTAATAAAATTTGATTTTGTTTAATGAGTCTTCAACTGGATAAGACATAAAATTTGGGAATAGTTTTTTGGTTGTTAAAGTTGAATGAAGAAGTAAAAGGAAAATAGAAAGCCAATGAGCCAATTTTTTATTTGAGAAAACAAATTCAAGGATTAAATTAAATAATCACATTTTAAAACAATGAATGCGAAATATCAGGACAGAACCAAAAAAAAAAAAAAGTGAGAAAAAATCTTTAAGATTGACAACTTTGCAAAAAGGATCATTAATGCTAGGTTCAACTTCTTTAAATTAAGAAATGTATTGTGGAAAATAAAGTACAATTATAAACAATGATTAAAAAATCAACATTTAAGATTGTTATAAAATGCATGCACACCTGCAATAGATTATAACTGTATTTGAAAGAGTCTAGAGAAAATTTGTTGAAATAATTTATGATTTTTATAAATATATCAATAGAGTTTATGGTCTAATTTATAATTTAAACTCCTTATATAATAAAAATTTATTAAATAAATAGTTAAGTTTCTGTCCAAATGCACCTTATGCAATTATTAAATTTTGAATCACTATCTTCTTAATAGAAAGTTATAGTTCTATACTTTTTCCTTTAAAGTAAAACATCTTAATTCAGAGGAATCAAATTCATCAATGCAGTATGTAATCCTAATACATCGAAGTATAAAACAAACTTAAAAATAGTGGAAAATACTATATTTGCAGAAAATTTAACTTAAAGAAGTTTACATGATTTTTATTCTTAAACGTGATGCTGTTGTTCATGATTTTGATTGATCAAAGCTAAAATAATCTCATGAAACACTTGCAGTCATTGTACTTACAAATCTCATAAAGATATTATGGCTCCATCTGTATTGAGAGAAAATTGGATTTGATAAATGTTATTAGTTTGTTTCGATAAGGAGGGAAAAAAATAAATACTGGAAATATAGTAACGATTTTTTTTAGTTAAAGAAAAAATAGAGAGGAAAAAAGTTAATCTTTATTTATAATATCAATTTTCCCCTCTTTTCTTCAAATATATATATATATATATATATATATATATCATATCAATAATATAATTTAAAAATTAGCAAAAAATAAAAATAAAAAAAATAATATAATTTAAAATTAAACTTTCTTGTGTGCTTCGACGTGTACTAGGATTCCTGCCACAAACAATCAAAGCAACTGATTCCCCAGAGAAATCACATTGATATAAAAAAGTGCAAAATTCAATTCTCCCATAAATCTCCATCATAACGTTCACATTAAAATGCCCATCTGAAATACCAATGCCCATTTCCCCAACTATCATGGCATGAACATCTCGGATTGATGATATCGATGCCCATCGATAAACCACCAGGTTTGGATCCTTTGGCGAAGGTGCCTAATGAAAAATATATACTTCATTTTAAAATAAAGCAACTTGGACCAGAAACAAATAAAGCACTCGCTACTTCGCCCATGAAGTTCAGAGAAGTACAATAATATTTCACAATTGTTAATATATCCAAAACCCGACACACAAATTCTACAACTCTCCATGTCAAAACTATATTACATTTTCTTATAAAAAAATTCCCGTATCTTAAATTGTTAAAAAACTATCATATTTACATATCTTATCATTGTCAATAATACTGTACCGTGTCCATGCAATGTAGCAGTACGAAACAAATCTTTCAAAACACCAAGGTTTGGTACATTCCATACATGAAAATAAATAACTTGAACTAACCAAAAGCCAACAAATTATTTATAAATAAAAAACAACTGTTCGCAACCTCAATGAATAAATAGCATTAGTATTTCATATGATACACTTCATAATGTCTGATTGAAAAAAAACCAATACAATAAATAGGCCAAAACTGCAAGAATTGCCCCCCAGACAACCCTATATTCTCACGCAATATGGTAAAGAAAGAAACAAGAGGAATAGAACGAGAAGCTCCCACGCCACAATTGCCTAACCTCCTTTTCGGACTCAATCGCACTATTAACACTTGTAATATACACATTCTACAGAAAGTTCCCTTTCCAATCACAATTGACTCCGCATTCTCAAAACTGAAGCCATGTTGCTGTAAAACACCATGCAAGAATGAATGATGGAAACCATCTTATGGCAAAAAGAATGGGTAACAAATATAGAGATCACCAAACTGGAAAAAGCTTGTTTCCAAAAAGTGCAAGACACCAACTGCCAACCCCAGAGGCTATGAAGAAATGGTGGATTATAATGCAGCAGAGCAATGAAAACTATGAAGAAAGGATAGATTGTAATGCAAGCTGTTGCTGCGGCTGCAAAGATGACCAAGTAGAAGCAAGTGTAGAGGGTGGTAAAGTTTGCTGGAGCTGTCTGAGTAAAGTGATCATGCGGCCAGCTGTCTGTTCTGTCGCAAGGTCTTTACCAGCACATAAAACCTGTAACACAATGCATTCCATTAAATAGAGAAACAATTTCAAACAAGTCAAATATATATTACCAAAAGGATTTGCACTAAACGTGCCCTTTGTTAGCTAGAACAGAACTGTTCACTTTGTACATACCAAGGTTTTCATGGAATAAACGCATGACACAACTCTCAATTTAACTATATAAACATTAACATTGTCAATATAAACACAAACAAAGAACAGAGCATCAGCTCCTCGAATGAACTAGAAATGATTGCATTACGTTGACTAAAATTATGGAAGTCAATCATATAATCTGACATTTTGCTTTGATAATTACAAACAAACAAACAAATAACCACATTTACCAAATATTCATGTTTGTCATATGACAATGTGCTACACAATCTTTTATACTTTTCTGGTCTCCAAAACAGACCAAATGAATCAATATTCCTATGAAAAATTTTAAACATTGGACATGCCATGGATGAAGTTTTATGCCCCCTGTGATGCTCCGTGCATGCTTCACTGCAGAGAATTTCCTAGGTTGACACGCTGCAATTTGAGAATGCTAGACTAATGTATTCTTTGTCTTAGTTATGGAAGCAATCTAAATTTCCTTGTGTATTGCTTTCTTTCTATTCAAAATTCTTACACCAAAACAAAATTCTTACTCATTTTAGGATTCAAACCAACCCCTGCCCCAAGAAAAGATTAAGAAAAAAAACCTTTAATTTTAGGAAAAGCAGACAAATTACAAATGCACAAATTCACAACAAAGACTAACCTCGGCAAACACTGCAACTATTTTTGGGAGGTATTGGTTGTTTGGGCCCAACAACTCCCTGTCAGACCTGCAGATAAACACAAAGGGCAATTAGAACAGTGAAAAAAAGATATGCATAAGCAGATAAGATTCAAAAAAGAAGAGTCCCCTAACCTCTCAGCCATTGTACAAAGCTGATCATGAACAACTTTGGCCTCAATCAAATCACCTTTTATTGGCAAACAGTTTAGCCATGCAGGAACTACCTGAAAGTATAACAGGGAGACAAAAAATATTAACTATCACCTCAACCAAAACAAAACAAATTCAACCACAAAGAATAGATCATAATAATGCCAGACATAATCAAGAACCAAAATCATAAAAACAGGTTATGCAGGGAAAATATGAAATGACCTGGGCAGAATCAATACTGTCGCGATGAAATTGGCAAATCTTTCCAAGAGCGGAAACAGCATTGTCATATGCCATGACATTATCTGAATGAAGAGCATTAGGATGCTGGATCACAGCATTTAACCTTGAAAGAGCCTCTGCAGTAACCCAACAACAACTTGTTATGAAATATAATACAACTGCTTCCAAGTTTAGTAATTTATCAAGCAGTACCTCCAACGAGAGGCTTGAACACAGATCCACCAAACTCTGCACAAACACCAAGGCCATACACAGCCGCCTACAGAATGATGAAGAAATACTAACATCAATAATCTAACAGCTAAAACAATAAATATCATATTAAAAATGTTGGAGTTGATCAACAGAGAGAGCTTAATGCTGACCTGTCTGACATCAGGAGTCTCATCATTACATGCCTCCAACAGGAATGGGAGATATGTATCATAATACCTGTGCAATTGGCAAGTAAAACAATGAGGTTGATAACAGATATCTTCATAATTATCACTGCACACTAAAGTGGTAACCTAGCAAGAAAATGTTATTACTTTATTGCCGCTTCACGACATTGCTCTGCAACATCATCAAAAATACAAATTGCAATCCTTCTCTCTTCAGGAGTTTTGTCCCTTCCCTATATACGAAACATCAAACTAAAAATCAAAACAATGACAAATGCTTTAGTCTTTCAAAAATTAGACTTAAAATTAATCCATGGGCTTTGTGCCTAGAAGAAATCTGCCTGATGTAAGTCTCACAGCTTAATCATAGTAGAATGCATCATTTCATTGAAAAGAAACTCTCGAAAGCTAAGATGATAAGTGTACCAAACTAGAGAGTGAAGATAAATGTGACCTCAGAGATGATAGGTGTAAAGATCAGAACTAGGAGTCAAACATAGATCTACATGACCATGAACTTTGCAAGTTTATATCTAGATTTCTATCTAATGTTCCACACAACTAAAGTAAAATATTCACAATATCAAAGATTAAATGTTCATTTAAAACGAACTTAACTTTCATTAACACAACTTTAAACAGGCAATCTTCGCATCTTCAAAATGCCCCCATGTTAAAAAAGATTAGCAAGGTCACACAGATTCTACATTTTGAAATCATATTTATAATTTACCAACTAAAAATGAGAGAACAGTAAAATATAGACATAACAGAATCAAGACAATAATAAAAGATAAGGCCGGAAGGCAAGCCAGTGAATCAAATGAATAAATAGAATTAAAGAGTCATCGAAAATCTAATTAAGTAATAGTTACTAGCTTCCTCAAAGAACATACCCACATAGGTGTCAGATATGATGAAAGTTCATCAAAGAAAGGCAAGAAGGAGGCTTTGAAGGTTTTGATCAAAGTTCCCAATATCTCACCCACCTGAGACAATGTATACATACTTTAGAAGGAGATCAAATTATTTGAATAAACTTAAAACACAAAGATAGTAGTCCAGCACTTCTGATGGTTAGAATTATTTTAGAAAAGACAGAACAACTAACTTGGTCAAAGACTTCTTCCTCTTGTTCATTTTCCTCTTTAATCAACTCCCCCTCTTCAGCATCAAAATCTTCAGCCTGGGCCCTCTCGGCTCTCTCCCGTTTTCTACTTGAACTAGCTGTGATCACCTGTTTTATCTCTTCAACAACGGATTTGACCTGGCTTTCATCCAAAAGCATACCGGAGATCTACATGAGGTAACAAAAAAATCAGAACACCAGCATCTTAGGATGCAACTACTCAACCACTGATGTACAGAGATCAACAAAAGCATGCAATGCAGATGAAAATGAACAAAATAGACAAAAATCAAGCCTTCTCCCCATAGGTGGGATCGGCTACATGGAACAAATGACACCATATGACCATAATATTCTATTGTCAATTGTGTTAATAAATAAAGCATCGGCCTCTAAATAATAATGATAAGCATTGAACTTCAATTATAAGTTATAACATCAAGTATGCCAAGGTATATTTGACAATCATGGTTCTATAAAATACAGAATAGGAGCTGATCCAAAAAAAGCAAAAACAAAGAAAATATATAGCCAAGACATCTCATGAACCAAACCTGTAAGCATTCATTTAATGAATCCAACATGCTTGCACAAATCTCTGTGTCAGGTTCCTGGAAGCAAACAGAAATGAGAAAATTTAGCAAAGAAATGCTCAGGGACACTACCAAGTCAGGCAAAGTGCACCACAAATATCACCAAGATTAATCTTGATCCTGAAGTCCATGTCTAGACTGGTCTCCTAAACTAACAAAAAAGTACATGATGCACTAACAAAGGATTTTGCTTTGGGTTTTTTTATATGAATGTTTAGAACTTAAAAAAAATTCAAGAGAATTTCAAATCAAAAGACAAAAATATTCACTCATAGAAACCAAGACAAAGAAATTCCATTGTAACACGATTGAAATGGATAAACTTGAATAACAATTACCTTATGCAATGCTTCCACCAGAGCTGGGATGATACTGTCAGTCAAAAATTTCAAATAGGATACATCCCGACCTTGAGATTGCCCTTTCTCTATAGCTAACTTTGCAGATCGTAATAATTCTGGCATTGCTATATTGGAAATGACAAACATTAAAACAGTTAGGGTAATTGCATAAAGCACATTTACTGTGCATGAAAAATCATTGAACAACAGAAGATGCAGTGGAACAGTTATTTTTTATACCTGAAACAGCTGCTTTTCTAACCTCCTCATGGAAATAAAACTTGAGGAGTGGAACTAAAGTTCCTGCAACCTGCATGGCATACAAGTTATTAACAAGTGTAAAGAAACACTTAAACAAGCTTTATTGTGTAAAAGGATTCTAACCTGATCAATCCATGGAAAGAATCCTTCCTTGAGCTCATCAGCATAGCAACATAGCATGTTACATGCTGTAGCTTTTTCCTCCAGAACACTAGTCTTGATTCCAATTCTCTTGTCTCCAAGAGTAATAGTTTCCATACTACAATGGATAGATAATACTTAGTTCAAGTTGTCTAGCCTAAACAAAAATTAATGAGTGCTTCTGATTCTCCAGAAGAATAAAACACTCATTAGTGTAAGGAGTATGTGCAAATAACAATGTGCATTAGGATTATGTGTTTACTGTAAATGCACGAAGAGTGTCAACATTAGGTTTTGGGGGAAAAATCAAAACATAAAAAGATCAGTAAAGCACTAGATGCAAGTCCTAATTCCTGAGGCCTAAACTATTAGTGAACACAGAAGACCACAATGACAAGAGAGATGTGCAGTGAGAGGGATATTATGCATTAATCATTTGTAATTGTAAATTGTTTACAAATTTATTATGAACCTTTCATCATCAGAATCCTCAATATCATTGTCTGAATCTGCTGATGTAATGATTACATCAGGCTTAAGTGAAGCAGATTGAAGCAATGGAGGCATGACAAACTCCATGTAAGGAAGAAAATCTTGCCCCAGACATTTGCAGAGTCTGGCCCAAGCCTGTAACAAATTAAGTTATTAGACCAAATCAAGTCCCCAATTGGCATTTCATGCATATGCAATAAATAATATAAAAGGCATACCTGTAGCATGTAACTCGTTGTTGGATCATCTGTCTCCATTTGAGATACTTGAAGGGACATAAGAACTTCCATAACCTAGTAAAGAACCAGCATACATGGAATATTAAAATCATAAGAGATCTAATAGACCAGAGGGATAAGATAGATGTACTTTACAGAGATGAAGCGTTCACTTAGCAGTTAATTTCTTATTTCCCCATTCTGGAACGACTATTATTCCAAATGGTGGAAAATTGGTTTAAAAAGTGATTATAAAAAAGAAATCATATATTATTGAGCCACAAAGTTGCAACATATCAATTTCAAAGAGTTTAATGAAAAAAGAAATAGCTACCTGCTTAGCATCGGCCCTAAACTTCTCCTTCCCAACAGCCATTCCAACCAAACTTATACACTCCATAGACTTAGCACGAAGCATACGGTTAGACTTGTCAGTTGCATTAACCAATATGGCCTTCAGATATGGCATGACAGCGTCATAGTATTTTTGGAAGTGTTCCTAAGGAAGAAATAGTATTAAGCAAGCAATCTACTGAAGATAAATTATCGATAATTATTGAAGAAATTAATTAAACACCTGAGAAGAATCAGCAACTGATGCCAAAGCAGTTAAGGCACCTTCTTGCACCATCTGCTTACCATTCTGAAATATGTAAAGAATATCCAAAATTAAGTGAAGGAAAATACAATCATATGATAATTCAGCAAAACTACCAAAATAGCATTATTTTTGGGAATAAAGTTCAATAAAAATACCTGCAGAAGTACAAGTAGTTTGCTAACTATTCCATCCAAGTATGGCGTTAAAATATCTGGTGTGCAGTTCTCACTGAAGTTGAGCACTGCTGAAGCAGCATGTGCCTGTATAATAGACAATATTGATTCAAGAATCCATACTTAACAATAAAGAAAATTAATTCAAGTTCAACCGAAGGGATTCTAACCTGTACACGTGGGTTCTGAAAATCATCCATGGCTCCAGCTAGTGCTGGCAATACTCCCTGATGATATTTAACTTGTAAATCTGGACCCAAATCAGTAGATAGTTGCCCAATTGCATTAATTGCTGCCCACCTTACACGGGGATGTTGGTCAGGGAAGGAGTTCAATACCATAGCCACCACTTGCTCCAAATTTTTTATCATGACCTGCAGCAATTGGAAGTTGGTGGAAAATCAAAATCACAATTGACCCCAGAAAAGAATCATTGAGATGTGGACACAAAGTTGTTGCACAACAAGAAATAATCAGTTACAACCAACTACAACTATCACAAACTTTATTTACACACACACACACACAAGATTAACAATAGAAATGTCAGTAACAACAACAGAATATTCTAAGTGCCCTTTCCTTATAAAAGGCAGCAAAACATCCAACAAGAAAATTTGGCAACTTGAATACCTTTGCGCAACCCTCAGCTATTTGAGCAAGTGCAATAAGTGCTCCATGACGTTTTTGCCATTCAGGGGCAGCCAAGTATGCAGGCAACTGCTCAGACGCAACGGGAACAATGGTGTTTCCGCCCAAAGATATAGAGAGTCTATCCAAACACTCTTGGCCCACGCTGTAATTGCTGGTTTCGCCAGCATCCTCATCCTCCGTCTCAGCACTGTGCCAAGCAGGATCGTCCTCAATGTCCAAAAGCATATTCATTAGTATTGTAAATAACCTACTAATAAACTGAGGCAACTTCCTCATCATTCCAGGGGCTCTCTCCCTGGCCTCAGCAAGAGTAATCACAAACTCAATCGCCAAATGCCGAGTCCCTTCCTCAAGTGACTCGGCCTCGGCAATCTGCAGCATAGCACCAACAACATCCACAATCTGCCGCCGCAAAAACCTGGGCTCGGTGCCGGCAAGCTCGATGAGCAACTCGAGAGCTTCCTGAGCTGTGGCTTCCTGGCCGGAATTTAGAGCCTCGGTCAACGTGCGCATCATCGCGGGCAACAAGTCTTGGAACCGGTCACGATCAGCGGAGCCGGATAGGCACTGGATGAAATTGATAACTGCGTTTAGGGCAGCGATTCGAACGTCTGGGTTGACGGAAGGAGAAGTAAGGCACTGCAAAAAGATATCGTGGAGGTGCTTGATGTGAGGAGTCAGGGATTCGCCTATGTATTGAGACAACTGCGCGAAAATGAGAAACGCTGATTCTTGAAGCTTAGGAGAATCGGAAGATACGCACTGGAACATGAAAGGAAGCAATTCAGGCCAAGCGTTATCTGGTAAGATGCCGGAGGCGAGTTCAGAGATGGTGTCGCAGAGTTTCTTGGAGATGGATTTGATATTTTCGGTTTGAATGGAAGAGAGAAGAAGAGATTTGAGAGAGGATTGAGTGTGAGGTGAGAGACGAGGCCAGAGATAAGAGTCGTCGCGCGTGAGTTGCTTGCGGAGGAGGATGGCGGACATGGCGCGTGCCTCTTGCTGTGGCGAGGCGTGAAGAAGGTGAGCAAGCTTCAAGGAGAGGCTATCGGGATCGGTTTGCTTACAGAGGTTGAAAAGTGCTTCGGCATGGGAACGTTGGTCGTTGGAAGAAGACATGAGGTGCGAGATCAGCGTCTCGAATGGCGATGGATCGGCCCCGAGTATGGCCGCCACTTGCGATTGCTGCACCTCCGGATCCATGGCGGCGAGGCCTGTTAGGGTTTTTGATTGAATTGTGAATGATGATGGTGAAAGAAGGAGAGTGTGTTTGTGTGTGTGTCACTTTATATGGTTGCAATGCGAGTGGGTTTTGGTGCGAGCAAGGAAAGGAAGAGTGTTTGTGTGTGTGTAAGTAAGTGTGTTGTGGTTTATTGGTCAGAAAGATAAATGGGAAAAGGCTTGGTTAGGTTACCGTGCACAGTAGTGGGGCTAATTAGGGCAACCACATCTTTTTTATTAGCTGTGTTTTGTTTTCTAGGTCATCAATCATGATTACGTTTGTCTATGCTTTCCTTTTCTGTTTAAATTATATCCACCTTTGTGTTTTTATTTTTATGTATTTGCACAGTGTTTTTACTAATTAATACAGTATCTTTTTCAATATTTTTTTCTTTTTTAGTTTTTAAGTTTATGTATATTTTTTAAAAATTTGGTAAATATTATATAAAAAGATGCAGTTGTGTGTATGTCAGCTAGCAAAGCTGAAACCAGCATCCCATCGTTACGATATATGCGTTACCTAAAGCGTGTATGTGACAAGAAGGTGAGACAATCTACGACCCAAATCCAAATAAACAAACCATATTCATTTTCAGCTATCAGCTACTTGCCTAATTCAATCCTTTTTATAGCACAATGAAATATGTGAACTGGTCTGTTTTAATTTGTAAATTCAGTTTATCGTTATTTTGTATTTTTTTTCATTAGTAATTTTATAGTATTTTAATATATTTTAAAGCTAAATTTGTATATCAAATATTGTTTATTAATGACTTATTATTTACTATTGAAATTGTTTATTCAACGGCATGTTGGAGAGTTTAATTTATTAAAAATAAAAAATTGAATTTAAATTTTACAAATGAAAAAAAATGCATTAAATGAGTTTTTTTTTCTCAAATAAATTATCTTAGCTTATATTAACTAAAATAATAAGTTTTAGATACAAAATGAAAATAAAAAACTCGTCATATGAATTCATATAAAATTACATTACGATTCTGTGCAAAACAACACGAGAAGAAGGAGAAAACAAGATGCATGTAGCCTATGATTTCAAGAACAATGAAGACAATTTAAAAAGTAAAAATTTAAATTACTTGTTGAAATTAAATGAATTAGATGTTTTTTTCCATGGTAAACTGGGTTAAATAACCCAATTGATTATATATTTAAAGATTTTTAAAACTAAAATCCTTGTATTATTCTTAAAAGCTACAAAAATTTCAATCAATTTATAAACTTACAAAACACTAGCAAATTTTCTATGTATTATTAAATTAAATAATTTTATTTAAGTAAAAAATCAATATCATAATATTTTCAATTTAAATTATTTTTAAAAATAGACAATCCTATAATTACTAAAATTCTTTATTGCATTATAATTATTAGTACTAATTTTTTTATTTTATCAAATCAATGTTTAAAATATATATTTTTAAAAATAATATTAAAATAAATTTAACAAATATATAATATAAAAAATAATTAATATGATGAGAAATAACTAATATAAAAACGTTTCTCATTTAAGAATACATTGAAACTTTTTTTAGGAAAAATCTTTCAAATATTTATAAATATCAATGATGATATTTTTATGTGCAAAAGAGTGCAAAAAAGCAATATAAACTAAAAATTAATTAAAATAAAAAATCAAAATAAAGGATTAACATACATTTTAAAAATAAAAAATGATTAATTTATATAATTCTGATAACTACTTTAAAATATTTACTTTTTCTAAGGAAAATGGAATTATCTGATCCAACCCTTCATTTTCAATTTCATTGATGTGACGTTACACAATAAAATATGACAAAAACTTAAAGCATCTCGATTTTAAAGGATAATTAAAAGGATTTGCAACCATAAGAAAAAAAACAAAACCAATTTTATATCAGCTTGAAGTTGAAGGAGATAGAATGCAATTTCTAAAAATGTTGGAAACTACCAAATCTTTGAAAATCATTAATCATTAATAATACCATAATAATTCAAGGAAATACGAATATTTTGAAAACAATAGGAACAAGCATGAGAGATGCATACAACTTGCAACATTTTCAAAATTCATAGGCATAATCTGTTAGAAGAGATGTGAATCACAATAATTGCTATATAATAATTGAGGTTTTGGGTCACAAGCTCCTTTCCTTCTCTTCTTTTTCTCTTCCTTGATTTGGGGTAACAGAGTTTTTTTTTTTCTTCAACAAAGTGTTTTCAAATCAAGTTACATCATACAAGAAATTGTAAAACATTTAGTGTGTGTTTAGATTTTTTTTTTTTTATGATTATATTTAAAAAGTGTAAGAAAATTGTTTTTCTTTGGCAAAAATTGAAATTTAATTTGCATTTACTGTAATTATTATTTAAACAGTTTATTAAAAATAAGAGAGTTTTAGGGTTTATAATTAAAAACTATTAGTTTAGCATGTATTTCAATGAATTTTAAAAATTCCAACAATCAAATATATTTATAATTTTTTTTATCAAATAAATTCCACGTTTGAAGATATTAGATAAAAAGTGAATATAAAATATCATACACTTTTTGAAATGTATAAAACAATAACTATTTTAAGATAAGAAAAATAACATAATATAAAATCATGTAAATTAGTTAGTTTTGTATTTGAAATAATTAATTACAAAAGATAAAATGAAAAATAAATCTCAAATTTTAGTGATTCCACGAGTTGTTTGTTTTGTAAAAATAATATATTTTTATAAGTTACATTTTCAAATTTTTTTTTCACCTTTTTCACATATTTCACAAAAATAAAATATTCCAAATACATACCTGTTTTTCTAATCAAATTTTATCCCATTTTATTCTTAAAATTTGACCATTCAAATACAAAATTAATTATTATACATAATTCTATATCTTCTTTTAAAATTTTACTTCAGAAAAAGTAATTTGTCATACAATTCAAATACAATGTTTTATTTTTAATTGTTTTTCATATGAGATACTCAAACATGCAATTATCTTGTATAAAAAATTATCATAATATTGATTATAAATATACTAAACCATTGAAATAATATCTTATTTTATCTAATTTAAACATATAATAATTAATGTACATTTTTAGTTTTTTAATTATTTATACTTAACTATTTAAATTAAGTTTTCAACCTAAAACATCATCCAATCATTAACAAAAATAAAATAAATATATGATATATTTTTTTCTTCTTCCTCTTTACCAAAAAAATATACAGATTAATAAATATAAATTATTTTAATAAAATAAAATGAAAACTTATTTATCTATCTTTGATTATTTTTATAATTTATATAAATTAATTATGTATCATGTTTTCATTAAATTTTTAATTATTATATATTAGTTTAAATTATAAAAATTAAGTATAAATAATTAAAAGTAAAAATATAAAATTATACATAAATTAAAAGCACAATTAAATTATATTTGTTGTCAAATTTATACAAGTTAAGGCAGAATAATTGGTTTGGGTTGGGCCGCCCATTTATGTCATCCTTTTTCTCACCAGTTTGACTTTTTGTGATTCTAAATGAAATTAAAAAGGGACACAAACAAATTATTTGAAAATTTTATAAAATTTAAAGTTTTAAAAAACTTTTGAAATAATATATATTATTTTTATTTAATTTTTAAAAAAATTAGTTAAATTTATAATATTTAGGAATACTGGAATTTCCAAAATAAAGTACAGGCTTAGGGTTACCTAACAAATCCTGTTGCAATTTTCAAAACTCGCTCTGGCCAAACAACAAACTTCACAAGAACTTGTATTATTAGGTGAAGGTAATCAATTGAACTGTATTAATTTATTACTGTATCCAATATTTAAAATCTTCTGATGCACTTGTGCACCATTTAATCACGCACTCACCCAACCCAAAATCACAATCCAAACCATCTGAACCTTGAATCAATAGCCTCTGGTCCTTGGCAAAAGGAAAACTGAGTAGCTACAGTGTATATGTTATTGTGAAGGCAGGTAGCGTAAGATAGGTAAGGTAATTGCCAATGCATTCATTTTATTTGTTTCATCAGTCTTCATTGTTATTGACATGACAGTGGGAGGTGGATGAGATAAGTCTCTCTGATCTGAAATTTTCTCCTACCTGATCCACAGGGAATATGCTTAATAGATTATGTAAGCGTTGCTTTTGCACCCTTACTCCGCATCCTTGGCTTTTTGTGGGGTTGGGAAATCCTGGCGACAAATACAAAGGAACTAGACACAATGTACCTTTCTTTCTGCTTCTGCTTATTCAATACTACTGTTTCTGTTAGCAGCTTGTTCAGTTCAATTACTGGTTTGTCGGGAGTTAGATTCTGTAGTTACAAGTTTTAGTTATCAACCACCAAATTACTTGAAAAGTGTTCTGTAACAGGGCTTAGTAAATGTCTGAATTGGCAATTCCACAATGAAATTCAATTTTTTTTTCTTCTTGTCCAAACCAGGTGGGATTTGAGATGATTGATGCATTTGCCGAGTCACAGGGCATTCCTATGAACACCGTACATTCCAAAGCCATTTTTGGAAAAGGTTTGTCTGCTGCATTTAATGTTCCACTTTTGATATTTGTTGTAATTCATCAATTTTAGACTTGATAATTTGTTACAGGTTTTGTTGATGAAGTTCCTGTTTTCCTTGCAAAGCCTCAAACTTACATGAATCTGAGTGGTGAATCAGTAAGGAAATAAGATATTCTGGCTTTTCTCTTCTCTCTTATCCATCTAGATATTTTACTTTAGTTTCTGCAAAATTGTATCATCTATAACTTTTTTTCACTTGAACCTGGCAAAAGTGTCTTATACATTCGGTTGCTGAAGTCTATAACCTACTTTGAGGGTTAGCTTTTCTGGTTTGCAAATTGAATTTCATTCTAATTGATTGGCAATTTGGCATTGTTGTGATGTTACAATGTAGCGCTATAACTGCAAACAGTTAAAAAATTGAAAGTTCATAGGCTATGAGGTTACATTGTTATGACAACTGTGATAGGAAAATTCTTGAAATTGACTACGGCTGCTAGAGAAACATCTGGGTATTGGCAGCAATTTCAAGTGCTGACATGGAGTGTACTATTTTGTAATTTGTTGCGCAATACATTTCTTAATTTTTTCAGGAACTGTCCTATCCACATAATGGTGTTGTATCCAATACACATAACTGTACATCTATTCGATATCTCATTTATTTACTTGATTTTATATACTGATATTTGCCAATGGAATTTATTGTTATTCCTCAAGACCCATATCTGAATCTCTTACCCTGACATAATTATTTGGGTGCGCTTTGTGTACTGATAGTGTCCTTCATACCCTTAATTCGGTTATCTAGTTCATATTCTTCATATTTATTGTAATTTGTATCTTCCTTGGCCTTGGTGCTCTTTGAGATCCATGTTCTTTTTTATGTATGTGCGGTGGAGAATCAACCTATAGGTTTGTTGCCATTGTCATGTGTGCGAGATATAGATTATAATGCATGAGAAAGGTTCTATTTTGTATGTAAGGGTTATGGTTCTTTTACTCCTTCCTCATTGCCCTTTATGAAATGTACCTGTATCCTATCTTTAGATATTTATGGAGATCTCTTATTCTGTGACTAAATCTGTATTAATTAAGTCTGTTTGGAATGTTTCAGATGAAAGGAGGGATTGTAGATGATTTAATGATATTTCATATTTAGTCTGCCAAGATCCCACAGAGCAAAGGGAATTGTGCTTTCCCCAGACGTTGAATAAATGAAATCATTTTGGCCAAATTGAGAGGGCAATGGACGAGGATATTATTTCTGCTAGGCCTTTGGGCAATGAAATTGTTCTATGTGATCCATAATCACTCCTTGATTTAATGGGGATAAAGTTGGTTGATCCATTGGGTGAGGTAAAGACTAAGATGGTATTTCTCTAAACACCTATCATATAAAGATGATGAAGGTGGAGAAGAAACTTCTAAGTTACCACAGTCAATTATGGAGGGTTTAAAAGAATTAGAGGACTTCATTAGGTTCTCTCAAAGAATTGAAGCTGTCTCACTGTTGTTTTTGGGTTACTTTTGTATTAGACTGTCCCTTATGCTGCAGGAGTTTTGTACTAGGTGTTTCCTGGGAGAGTCTTGGGGCAGTTGTGGTAGTTAAGTTTTCTGTTTTTGCGAAAGGTTTTTGCGGTTTCCTATAGGGGTTTTTGCAGATTTACTTTATTTTTTTGTTTAAGGAAAAATCTTTAAATACATGGTAGAGTAAGGTGATAGTCATTGTGGAAAAGAATGAATGGAATTCATTGTTTTGATTATTTGATACTATTTTTTCAAATTGGAGACAAAAAATGGAAGGGAATATGGAAGTGCTAGGGAAAGGTATCATTTTATGAATCTCCTCTGGATTAATTTCTTTTGTCAAATAGAGGCCTTGGTGAATACCATTAATCCCTCCCCCCCCCCCCTCTTTTTTCATAAAAAACCCAAGGAAAAGAGGAAAAAGAAAATTGAAGATAGTTTTATGGTAAATAATTTAGGGTTGAAAGACGGCCATCGTGGCTGATTGCTTACATTTTTCCTTTCTGCTTTTTGCTGGTTCTATTTTGTTGGAAATGCTGACTTTTTGTTGGGGTAAGGTAGTAAACTAATATTGCTTCCATTGAAAATTTCTATTTTTGAGGTGGCATGCAACTGGTTTCATTTGCTTGTGTTGTTGATGTTTAGGTTGCCTAGGAATCCTTGTGCTTATTATCGATTTATGTCATTCTATGTCTTCATTTTACTGCAGACAGGACCACTGGCTGCTTATTACAAGCTACCTCTTAATCAGGTGCTTGTGGTAAGTTAATCCATACACTGTACCTTTCTTTCAAGTATCTAAATGGTAATAGATGTGTTCTTCTTTATTTAATAATAAATATTTGGTTGCAGTTCCACGATGACATGAACTTGCCATGTGGGGTGCTTCGTCTTTACGACAAAGGGGGTCATGGAAGTCACAAAGGGTACACTACATGATAATTGTGAAGTAAACTTAGTATTATCTTCGTTCTTTTTTTCTTACCCTGACCAGAAGAAACTTGTTGCCCAATTGAAATACCTACTCCTCTAAAGATATTATGTTTATTATGCATCATTAAATTATGTAATCCGCCATTTTCATTACATTTTTGTCGCATGTCTAGTGGCCGTATGTTATCATCATATCTGTAATGCTTCACTGTTTCTGGTGGAAAGGAAAATCAATTTTGTAAAGTGGCTGAAGTAGAGAAGTGGGTGTTTGTAATTCAATAATTGTGTTTAAGGGATGAATTGGGATGGAAAATGAGTTCATGAAATCTTTCCAGCTCTGATTTTTTTCTACTCGATTGCTTCTTGAGTACTGCTACTCATCTTGTACTTTGTCGTCACTTTTCTCTCAACCAGGCTGAAGAGTGTGATCTGCAACTTCAGAGGAAATAAAGAGTTCCCTCGGCTAAGAATTGGTTGGTACTTACGTCGCAAATTCTCTATTCCTTCCCTACATTTTAGATTGTTACTGTTATTTTTTCATTTTCAGTTTGTTTTGTTGTTAGGGATTGGTAGGCCTCCTGGGCAAATGGATCCTAAAGCATTTTTGCTTCAAAAGTTTAACGTAACAGCTAGACAGCGGGTAAGGTCTTGGTGTACTGTTACATGCACTTTTGGTTCCTCTTGTGTAACGAAAGCTCCAATTTAGTTCCCATGGTTCAAATTACAACGACAATATGACATTGCTCCTTGGGTTTTCTACTCAGTACAACATGAATCCTATTATTAATAAAAGTTCAAATAAATGGAAAATAATGAGTTGGCATTGTAGTGATGTGGTGCTAAGGGGGGATGATGTGTGCCTGCACTATGGGGTGTGACAAATGACAAATCCGATAGTGGTTACTTTCCACGTTCGTTCGTGCAATGTCCTAAAATCACGCTAACTAATTGGGTGGATTTCTAATGATTGAAATTGGATGTACTAATCGAGAAAATTTAAGGGCAAAATTTATAAAGTGGACACAGTTATTAATACCATGCAATATGTGTAGAGGTTGTAGAACACTACCATGAAAATGGGCCTATAGTATCGAGGTTTTCATGTGGCCAGCTTGTGGCAATTGCTATTGCATGTTTTGTGTTTTTTTTTTTTTATTGTCAACACTATTGCATGTTTTGTACATCGTGCGACATGCACTATATTGAAAATGGGCCTAGTTACATAAATCTTCACCTCTGTTGCTTCTCGTCCTTCTTGTTGGACAGATTGATGAGGCTTTGCAAGAGGGGGTCGATGCCTTGAAGTTCCTTTTATCTAAAGGTTTGGCAGAGAGTGCCAAAAGATTCAACAAAGAACAAAAGTATAAGCACTTAAGAGTGCAGACATTGCCAGTCTGATATGATTCCATGAAGGCAAGTTGCATCTTAAGTATGACCAGTTCCTCGCTTTGTAGGTTGCGATACATTATATAAAACTTGAGTTTGAAAACGTTATGGATGTGTAAAAATTAGCGATAGGAAATTGGCTGAATTTTGTAAATGTTCCTGAGATACATATAGCTTTCTGAATGGTTTTTGACCAATTTGTTTTCCTTCGATTTGTTTTGATTTGGATATTGTCTCTAACTGTATTGGGCATTTGTGCAAACGCGAACGCACACTGATAGGATAACTGATCACACATTTGATGTATTGGTGAATTGTATCAATAGACTTGTTAAAAGGGGCATCATTGAAACTTGCATGTAAATTTACCCCCCGAGAAAAATTGTCGTTGCTAATCGTAATCGTAGATGCTATATGGCACGAATCACAAAGAAGGTAGGGAAATGCGACATGCAATTGAACTGAAGAGGGATAATTCCTCAAAATTCAAGCTAAGCTAAGATATTGGACTTGGATGTAATTATAAAATGCAGATTGGGAACCTCAGTTATAATTCACGTTCACTACCTATGTGTGTGACTTGATATAGAGGTTAGATAGAAGGTACGAATACTTGGATAAGGAAAGTAAAAACAAAATAATAATTAAAGGGGGTTGAATGTCTATCACAATCATACTCAAGTTTTGAAGGCTTGGGCCTGTCTTAATTAAGTTGGTTGAAAAACAATCAGTCATGTTACTTGATTTATTAATTTTCTTTAACTAATTTCTTCTGATCCTTTTATCTCGACTTTTTGAGAGCCATTTCAGGTCTGAACAATTTATCTTGAACTTGAGTTTGATTTGCAGTTTTTTACACTTGATTTGATGCGTGCCGTAACCATTTCCAAGTTTTAAAGATAAACTATAAGACCAAATAATTGTTTTTATTATTATAAGATATAATAAATAATATATTTAACCACGTTAGTTTTTAACATGCTGAACATTCATAAGCTTAAGTTTAATTTGATTGAAACTGAACTTTGCGTTCCTGGAATTGATCCAGTTGGTTTCATACACATTCATTATTATACATTCCTCGCAACATAACATTATGGGCTAAATATGATAGAAAATGATTTACTGCAGCCAGCTGTTCCGAAATCCAACCATCATGCTGGAAAATTCAAAAACAAGTTTTCAACGTTAAGTAAATTTCCATGTGCACCACGTCCCATGAGGACCTTTTAAAAAATAATTGACAGATCTGATTTTCCGTAGTACCATATGCATGCTTTGTACTTTTTGCATGTTGCTTTGCTAGTATTCATACTTCATATTTAATGTATTTGTGTTCAAGATTCCTTAGCAGTGATTGTTCATTTATGGTGAACGGTAATCACAGGCAAAATAAATGAATACCCACTATCATTTCTATTTTTTAAAAATAGATGGAATAACATGTTTTATGAGATACAACATGCTCTGATCCTCGGCCATTTTTTTTCTTTGGTTCTTTTCAAAGGAAACTTTTAGGTTGTTTGATTTATTTTGTATTATAATACTTCATTTTAAACTGATATACACCACCTCATTCTTATTTTTTCTTGTTTTTAGGATTTGATGAAAGTTTTTTTCATCATTTTCTTTACAAATCACAAAAGAACAAATATGAACCATTTATTATTATTGCTAATGAAAACAACAGTAAAAATAAACCAAACACTTTTTTTAAGAACCTGTTTCATTTAATATTCTCTACTTAATATAAAAATATCACTCCATTTTTATTGCAAAAAGATAGTACAGAAATATTGAAATAACAGTAAAAAGAAATGCAAACCAAGCACCGGTGTTTTGTGTGAAAAATGGTCACATGGGATCCATTATAGGGAGATGAGAGTACCAAAAATATTGATTTTGATTGAAACAACTAACTCTCGTCATTGTATTATCATGCTGTGTATGTTGATCTAGCCCATGCAATCATGAAAGTTTAATTAATGCCCATTGTTATCCGATAGCGAATTAGGGATGGTACAATTGGTAGGTGGTTTGTGCATGAATCATATGTGCCAGCTTGTTCATTTGGTGTGGTTTATTTATGGTTGACCCTATCTTGTGAGCTTTTAGGCACTCCAGAAATCACTTCCCTAGCTCCTTTGTGATTTTCTAACAACCTTTTCCAAATAATTTAGAGTCATAAATGTCAAACAATCAACTCGTTTTGGGATCTATAATTAAATTAATAATATAGTTTGGTCAAATTTTAGAGCTTCTTGGTGGCATTGGGCTTGGCTACAGATTGCTCACTACTGTAAGCAAAGCCATGAAAGATTGCAGCCTGCAATATTAATCTAGTGAGGAAATTATATGCAGCTAAAGTTGATCGACTTGGACTTTTTCTTTAATTTGTTGATAAACCCGCGGTTTAATGTAGAATTATTAGAAACGTTATTAGAATTGGCAATTTTTTAGTTCCTCTTAATTTGGTGGCCGTAACAAGCAGGTTATTATGCAACTCGGGATTTTCTTTGGCCATTCGTTAATTATGGTGAACAAATATCATTGGAGAATTATTGACGAACATATTATTTAGTTCAACCACTGACATAGTGACATGTTTCTACTTTATTTAGCTGTAGGTGCTTGGGGAATCATGAAACCTGCTCCTTGCATGCACCTTCACGCATGTCTTACATGATAAACAAGCATGCATGTCGTGCTATATAATTGAATTCATGTCATATTTTTCCGCTGATCGTGTCACTTTGAGACGTTAATTAAGCCTAATTAATTGAAAAAATAAGTGTATATATATAGCTTGATCGTTCGCTTTTAAGCAATAATTCTATTGCACTTAAAATCTTTCTTCATATGCATATATCACACATGTAAACTAGTAGAGTAGTATTGCAATGTGCAATTGGCAAATACCAAATAGCATCAGAGGTTGACTTCTACATGTCAATAATCGAAAATACGTTTATTATTATTCCTTTACTGTGTGAAAATAGGTGATGCAGTTAGTTCTTGGCTACTTGCTCAGTTGTTGTTTAATTAGTAGTTGACCTTAAATTTTTGCATTGAACGTTTTTCAAACTTCAATCTCAAACAAAAGGGGGGAAAGTACAAGCGTTACATACGTGTATATCTCACTATATCAGTATCGCCATCAGTGATCAGGATCCTTATTTTAAGCTGTGACACACAGATCAGACAAATCAAGTCAAACATATAAAACATCTCAAGTAACTTCGTGGCTACTTCCTTGTTCTTTTAAAATTCTATTCAAATATTTCTTCTAAAAAGTGCCACAACACATTAAAGACTAAGTCACCGACTTGTCTCGCAAGCATCATGGACCGACCCAACTACAAAGGACCCATGAGAGAAAAGAAGAAAAGGGAAGAATTGGAGTTCACTGACTAGCTAGGACAAATTTTTTGGTCTAGAGAATTGTCTTAAAGTGTAAAGAAAGATTATGCATTGATATAAATGAACAAAAATATCACATAATATGAGTGCAAAACTTTAGACCACATTGAAACTCAATTCCACAAACACACGTCAGTATTGCGATGAACACAATCTATCACCCTTAAATTATTATTTAGGTTGAGGTCTGGTAATTAAGCTAGTGTTTTATTGTTTGACGGCTTCAAAATATACACTAAGCTAGGTTGTGAGGATGGTCAAAAACATTAATGCTGATCCACAAGTGGTAAAAAACCAGACATAAAACGAATTGCTTGGTCAAAAAAAGAGAGATAGAGATTACAGTGACGTTGTTACTAGTCATAGTTTTTATACTTTTTTGTACGTCTGTTGACAATTGACCCAAAAGTTCTTCACAAGCTGTCTGCACGATTGGAGTATGGATCGGTTTTCAAATTTTGATTCACTTGTCTCCAATGCTACGAAAATCAACGCTTAAAAATTAAAATTGATGGTGCCTATGGTGACTTAAAAATTAAGAGAATGTTATATGCCTATGGTGCCTATAGGTCTAGTTGGACCAAATTTATTATCAAATTTTTATAAAAGCAGAAAGTAAAAACACAATAAAAATAATTTTTTAAAAATTAAGATTAATTTATACAACTCACTTTTTTTAGTCTTTTTTATTTAATTTTTCCAAAAATTAATATGGAATCACTGTGCATGGAAATATGAAAGTCACAGCCATATCGTGTATATATCGAGACACGTTTAGTGAGCGCATTAAAAAAATTAATCTTGATAATATAATTATATAGAAAAAATTAAAATTATTTTAATTATACCATTCATTTTAACCACAGATATTGCAATCCTCTTAATAGTTTTGCTACGACCTTTTTCCATTCAAAACCATGACAGCCCCAAATTCTCTGAACAAGTTTGGTTTATTATCGCCTTTACCCATAGCACGTTAGCATTTTGTATCATCTCACAATTGGCTTAATTAAGAACTTTAAAAATTAGTTATTATAAATTATGTTTATTGATAATTTAATTATAGTAATTATTTTTAGGGACGATAGTGTTGAACACGAGAAACCTGTGCACGCGCCGACGCGACAACACTGAACCGTATGGGTTGCAGTAGCGAATAGACTTTTGAACCTCCGTTACCGTCACTCCTAGCTGTTCTTTCTGTCCTTTCTCTACACTACATTCCTAATTTTTAAAATAATTAGCAATTTTAATATATATTTTTCTAATTTTCTCATTAGCTTTATTTTAATATATTCTAATAATGTTTATTATAATAAAACGAATGTTATTCTCTTTATTTTTTATTTTAAAATATCCTTGTAATGCACATCAAACTTGTTAATTTTAAAAAAACTTAGTTAACTTAATCTACTTAACATGTGATTAATAGAATTTAATATCTAAAAACATTAAGTATAATAAATTAGATCGGCCTTACTCTTAAGTAAACGAGTTCCTTCTTATTTATGTCATTGAGATTTAAATTTTAAATATTAATAAAAATAATTTAATACGAAACGAAAGATAAATTTTGACTATATAATTATATATATAAAAATCAAAATTTATTTATTACATATATAATTATTTTAAAATATTATATGACTTAATATTTTAAACATTAATGGTTATATTCAATGATTAAAAGTTAATTTTTTCACAATTACGGTAAAAAAAAATTCCATCTGATACATAACTATAAATATATTAGATAGGATCAAATATCACATATTTAGCAAAATAACATATTTATCAACCTCTTATCAATAATAAATTTTATAAATTTAATTGCTTTTTTAAACTTCTAAAAATGTAT